TATATAAAAAAATTTTTATTTTGAATAAAAAGCGGTTTTTTTTTTTTTTTTTTTACTTTGATACTTTTTTTAAAGATCCTTGATGAATAAAAGGTTCCCAAATTTTTTTTTTTAAATAAATAAGCAGCCAAATTGTTTCCAACATTAATAAATACCAGACTGATCTCAAGGCTCATGTGATACTAAAAACTGTAATGCCTGATGAAAATTCAGCTTTGCACCACATGAATAAATTATATTTTAAAACGTTAAAATACAAAATCGTAATTTTAAAAATTGTAACAATGTGTCACAATATTAAAATGTTTTGCTGTATTTTTGATCAAATAAATGCAGCCTTTCTGAACTAAAGGCTTCTTTCTATATATAATAAAACCTATAAAAGCAAATCCTGTCAGCAACACATACAGATTAGAGAGTAAGAATCCATATGATGGAGTGAAGGTCCGCAGACAGGAAACCACAGGCCCTCTCAAAAACATGACATGCTACTTTCCACTCCAAGCAGATACATTTCAGAGCACATTCTGATCTTCAAACATCATATGCAATAGCACACCACATAATTGCTTTTACTGCCATTAAGCAAGCAAAACAAACTGTGAGCAAAATCAACAAGTGCCCTATAACTCCCCATAAAAGATGGCACGATCTCAAATCAACCCATGCCATCACTGAGCCAAGTTAGCCAACTCTCTAACCAAAACCACACTCTCCCTTTTCATACTGAATCTGTTCCAGTCAAATTATCATCCATCAAGTCATCCTCTCCACACATTATAACTGTGCACATTCAGACAGGACCTCAGAGCCTCCCTGCATTAGGCCACACAGTACAACATGTTTGGAGAATGAGGTACCCAAGCTAGAAGCACCTGACTGTACCAGTCATGTGGTGGAGTGGGCATTTGGCAAACAGAATGTGGCAAGCAACTCAGGGGGTCCTTTGTGTTCAGATTGAGATGCACTGAAGCATCCATGCCTGATGCCTGTCCAATTCTGCATCCTGATCATCAGCTTGTTTGGGCACATGGAATGTAATCCATCAATGGCTGCTTGTGTACAGCTCACCATTTCATTTTACCCATATATATATATATATATATAGATAGGATGGGCATTTCAAGCAAAAATAATATTCAAAAATCACTGGGTATTATTCGATTATTATTCTAAAATCACACCCCTCCCCGCAAGCACGCACAAACACCCATAAACTGAGAGAGATGGAGAGAGACGGGATTCACGCTTTCAATATGTATATAAACTGTTTAATTCAGAAGATAGGCTACCTTAACTCAAGTCATATAATGATTGTACCGTGCTGAAACCTTTTAATATAATAAACATAACCGAATGACGGCACTTATTAACATAACAGTTAGTCGATTAGCATAAATCAACTACTCATAAGGCTAGGACATTTCCATTTCAAAAAATTGAATCCCTAAAGGGAATAGATACGAGACGGGAGGAAAAATATACTTCATTATCTTCTGTCGCAATTATATCGTTGGGTAATTACACTGTATATAAACTGCGGGCATCAGGGAGACGTTATTAATATGTGGGGAATTGAAATTGCTTAAAATCAAGCGATTACTTTCACTTTAGAGATTCATGATCACATTCGGAGCAGCACTCGGCAGTACTTACCACACATTTTACATGATTACAAGGATCTGCAAATCATTCGCCATCATCCTAACAGTCATCTCTCCTTACTCTCCTGTTTATGTGGTAAGTGAAATGCTATGTACTGTAATGTAACAGGCTACCATTAGCAGGCGGCTAACCATGTCCATTTAGTGGCTCTGTAGAACGTTTTATTTGTTTTCCCCGCCTTTGTGAATACGGATTCAGCCACACCTCTAACCCAGCCAGGGGTGTTTGTGGTCCACACAGAACTCTTATTTGACATCGTCCCAAGTTACTGTAACCATTATATGCTACACAAGTATTTTTTTATGCCACGCAAGTCTAGAGTGTGCGCGTGAGACTGTGTTCTTCGACAGTTTTTAGGTGCGTTATTGACAGCGCTATATGAACGCGTCACTACCGCATCAGCAAGGAAAACATGGGGAATTTTTTTAAAAGACAATAAATCGCACAAACTATTCGATATTCTATAATTAAATCAACTAATCGAATATTCGAAAATCGTGACCCATCCCTAATATAAAATATATATATATATATATTTGTCCATAACATATGCCTGCCCATACCATAACCCCACCGCCACCATGGGCCACTCAATCCACAAAGTTGACATCAGCAAACCGCTCACCCACACGAGGCCATATATGCTGTCTGCCATCTGCCATGTACAGTGAAAACCGGGATTCATCAAACTGCACATTTTAGAGTGGTCTTTTATTGTGGCCAGCCTAAGGCACACCTGTGCGATAATCATGCTGTCTGATCAGCATCTTGATATGCCACACCTGTGAGGTGGATGGATTATCTCGGCAAAGGAGAAGTGCTCACTAACACATATTTAGACATATCTGTGAACAAAATTGGAGAGAAATAGGCCTTTTGTGTACATAGAAAAAGTCTTAAATCTTTGAGTTCAGCTCATGAAAAATGGGGGCAAAAACAAAAGTGTTGCATTTATAATTTTGTTCAGTGTAAATATACAGTATATAAAGCATAGAGAAGCACAGAGACTTTCATAGTTTTGCATGTTTGAATCACGTGAAACAACACGCAACCAAAAAGCACTGCTATTCTAGGTGGCACATGACTGACTGAAATGGTGGTTAGATCTTAGTGGTAAGACTTCAATGCAGTTTTTTTTTTTGGGGGGGAAAAAAAAAACCCCTTCAACATGCAAAGCTAAACATTAAAAAATATATATATATTAAATAAATTATTTTCTTTCGAACATTCTATTCATCACAGAATTCTGTATACAAAATATTTCCACAAAATATTAAGAACTGTACACAACTGTTTTCAACATTGAAAATAGTAAGAAATGTTTTGAGCAGCAAATCAACACATTAGAATTATTCAATATATCATCAGTCATCTAATACATCACTGTACTGTATTAAAGACACAGTACTTTATAATAAAGTCACTACGGTACAAATGTTATTGCTTTGCTGTAATGTAATGTCTTGCTGCAAACTGCAGGATGACATGTAATAAAAGCCACTTCGTTGTTCGTCATTATTCAAAACAATCAATAGTTTAATAAAGGACGACACATGGTCTCTAGGATTCTATGGAGCTGATGGTACTTGGCAACTTTGCAAATGGTGTAAAGCTGATAAAGACAACCACAAATGCTACAGGTTATCTAAGGCTGCTTTAAAAACATAAGCATTCAAGACAGAAGGGAACATCATGATGAATGATATCGTGTCTAGTTTTCATGTAACTGGTCTACCTAAAATAACATTCAGGAAATAAAGCATTTCCTGAGAACTCAGGATGTTCTTTGCATTTTGAAAAGTGCATGTAATACTAAAGCTGGGCTAAGACTTTAATAATATCTGTCAGGTTGTTTTAAAAACTGACTAATGTAATTGCCTTGCATATTTAAAGCATCAGATTCTCGAAGCGCCCAAAGAACAAAGTCAGTCAGTCTCAACAGAACATGAGGGTGAAAAGACCTGCACTTCTGCGGCCAGCATGGGGAAATACTTGATAATGACGCCATTACCTCAAGCCATCTCTGCGCCTCCTGGAACGCCAGCTCACAGCTGACTGCAGACTGCTGACGCCACTCCATCACCTCTCCAATCACACCTGTGTGCATTTCACAATGAAAAATTATGTGAACATTAACCCATTTAGAGACAAACTACATTCAAGGACACAAAATGACTATACATATATATATATAAATAAATAAAATGTTTATATATTATTTTATATAAATAATAATAAAATAGACTGAGCATTTATTGCTATTTCTAGTTATTTCTGTTTATTACAACTATAATTGTTTCCGAAAAGTAAAAAAAAAAAAAACTAAATTAATGATAAGCTAATACAAAATCATTGTAGATCCATGTTGTTTTTTATCAAATTAAGTGATTTTTATAATAATAATAATAATAATAATAATAATAGCTGCCACTGAGCACTGATTTGGAGTGTCACTGTTGGAAGCAGATAAAGCTGTAACTTAATATAACTGTAAACATGTAAAACAGTAAAAGACAAAACATACAGTAAATATCACAGACAATCTTTTTTTTTCAAATTTGACAAAATGTGTATTAGAATCACAGCTTAAATCACATCTAGCAGTTCTGCAATAGTATACAGATCTTGATAAATTAAGAAAAACGCATCAAAGACAGATAATAAACAAAAAAAACAGATGTTACGACTTGTCTTGGTATTGTAACCCCTTTAGTTTCATTTTAGACCAACTATTATTGGTGTAATTTTTTAGATAAAATGCAGTTTTTGGATAGATGTTTGTTCTTTTTTGGCAAAGTAACATTTGATATATTTTAAGTAATATATTAGCAACATCTAATCTAATAATCATTTGCGATTTTGCTGAGACCAAAGAACAAAAAAACACCACCAAAAGAAAAGTGACATCCCCTGGAGTGACTCTGAACGGGTTCAAATCAACTTCCAAATGCAACCCCAACATATGCTCGATGTGATTGGTAACACTGCGCACCTGTGGCACCCTACAAGCATCTCAAGTGGAATGACTCAAAACTTACCTGCTAACCCCTGTTTCAAGTATGTTTATTGATTTCCTGTAACTACTCTGAAATTTCACTTCCCAGATGTCTCGACTCGAAAGAGCAAGGTGTTTCCCGCTACTAGTGCGCGTGCCTTCAACACAACTCTGTTAATCTGTTGCAAACATTGCTCCTCAAATTCACACCAAGAAGTCCCTGCACGCGACTGGATCGTGCAGCTCTCCTCCACCGAGCCTGCTTGTTGTCGTGAGCAGGAAGAGAAAAAGCCCCGTTCAGTGATGAGACAGAGACGCTGAGCGCACAGAACAGTTTGCGTGTTTGCAGAGCAAGTGCATATGCAGTGATGATGATGAGTTTAAATATATGCCACACCCCCTGCTGCTATCAAGACCGATAACGTGCTATGGCATGTGAACAGCAGATGGCGGCAAAGATTCACTTCAACAACGTTGCCGTCATCTTGCTGAACGCCGTAGAAAAAGGCAAGGGCCCAAACTACTCTTTCACATTTTCTGATTGAGGTTGACTCTGTGCTCACATCTTTTTGTTTGACTAGCAATACAAAAATGTGTCAGGTTTCTGGAATTATATGAAAAAATGTATTTCTGTTGACTCTGATTCAGTTTAGATATAGCTTTCCTTCATTGCTCTTTTATTTTTATTGTTATTATTATATCTGTCCCTTTATTGCAAGCTACATACCCCCTTATTGTCTTTTATTTCTCCTCTTTTTCTTACTTCTATCTTCTTTTCTTTGTTAATGTTCTCCTGAAGGTGAGTGTATATTTTCATATCCCAAACATTCGTTTTTTCACAACATCTTAGTACTTCAGTTGTAACTACAAGGTTAACATGAAAAATAACCCTTAATGCTATGTGTTTAGTTATGCTAACACTGTCAGGGGAGGTCGATAAAAAAAAAATGTTTTAATCTATCAGCCTAAAATATGACCTCACACTTTGATCTAAACCAGGGGTGCCCAAACTCGGTCCTGGAGGGCCGGTGTCCTGCAGAGTTTAGCTCCAACTTGCCTCAACACACCTGCTGGTAAGTTTCTAGTATGCCTATAAGAGCTTGATTAGCTGGTTCAGGTGTGTTTAATTGGGGCCGGAGCTAAACTCTGCAGGACACCAGCCCTCCAGGACCGAGTTTGGGCACCCCTTTTCTAACAAATGTTTTGATAAAATTTACCATGAAAATTTAATGAGTATTTTATCTTTTCAAATTGTATTTGGATAAGAAGTGCTGGTTTTTGTTTGGGGAAACTAGTCTAGCTGATCAATTGCCAGAAAAAAAAGCATTAGCATACATGTTAGGTCTGAATGGACTGTGGTCTGCACTGCTAAGCGCTTTTAACCTCACAGATGAGTTCTGGGCAGAAAGCTGAGATATCAGGCTACACCACAATATCATCTAATACAATCAAAGATCTGCATAAGAATGACTGACATGCCTTATTTGGCCCCCCTGTTGTAGGTTTTAAAGGAATATTATAACATTTAAAATGCATTATTATTTATTTACATGTATATTTATGTTTTCATGGACCGTACGAAAAAATGTTTCATGAATTTTTAAAAAACTCTTTTCCATGCAAAAACAGTTTAGTGATTCCTGTTAAGCTCCAGAAAGTACCAAAAATATGTATACAATTATATACATGATGCAGTTAGGTTAGATGCAATTACGGATGTTTGTTGCAACATGCTTTGAACTTACATTGAGAGATGCTTTCAACAGCTGGAACTAAAACAGGAAGTGCTTCATCCAGCGACAGGAAGTGCTAACCAAAGCTGGAGCAATGTACATGTCTGTCTGCCCACTGGTTTCCTGTGTGACTAGTCTGCTGTCAGACAACCAACACTTTATCACACTATTGTTGTCATCTGATGAACATTAAGACAGTGGTACAGGTTCAAAAGCATGCTAGCAGCTCTTCACAGGATGCTGGTGAAAGGTGTCCTCTGCTGTTGATCTAGAAGCTTTGCGGTTTCAGTCGTGATGATGAAAATAAGTGAGGAAATCTGGTGATAAATATATTTAAGTGCACTTTTTTTGTCAAATACTGTTGCAACATGCTTTGAACTTACATTGAGAGATGCTTTCAACAGCTGGAACTAAAACAGGAAGTGCTTCATCCAGCGACAGGAAGTGCTAACCAAAGCTGGAGCAATGTACATGTCTGTCTGCCCACTGGTTTCCTGTGTGACTAGTCTGCTGTCAGACAACCAACACTTTATCACACTATTGTTGTCATCTGATGAACATTAAGACAGTGGTACAGGTTCAAAAGCATGCTAGCAGCTCTTCACAGGATGCTGGTGAAAGGTGTCCTCTGCTGTTGATCTAGAAGCTTTGCGGTTTCAGTCGTGATGATGAAAATAAGTGAGGAAATCTGGTGATAAATATATTTAAATGCACTTTTTTTGTCAAATACATTGGTTGTCTTGTATATAGATTTTCTAATAAGAGAATACAGCATACTATAGCATATTATGGTTTTTGTGTTGCACATCAGATGCTCTTAAAAAGATTGCAATCTTCTCCTGCTTAAAAGGCCAAATGCATGTATGAAGGTGTCATAAATGAAGTCAATTAACATTTTCTATGTTCGTTAAAGAGAGCTCTAGCAATAGAGCAAGAAATATTTCTATACTTTCTCTGTACTTGGGTCAGTCTGAAAAAAAAGTTGTTTGTTTTATTGAGAGGCCTAGTCTGATGCAATGTATGTTAAGTACACAGATTCAAGTCAAATAAAAGTTGTGCAAAACTGAAGCAAATTAGAGAATGGCTTAGTGCAGGGTTTGATATTCCAAAATTGTTCTCCTCATCAGTCCTAACAGGTATTTTTTTAAGTTAGTTCAAACCCAGCCAAGATATCAGAGTTTAAGTAAACTTTCTAGAGGTTCTACAATTCTTTGCAAAGCTAAAGTAGATCTAATACTCTTTTGCACATCCATTGCCACAGACTTCTGTTACATCGTGATCTTGAAATGTGTGTTTTTGATTCTAATTCTTGGTTTCTGAAGCCATTGGATAGAATGAGCTAAACTGGAAACATACAAAGAAAATGTGTTTACAGTTTAGAGTGGCTATGAGGTTGACCACACAGAGGTGATGTTTCTCTAGCTCTAACCCTAACCCTTACACTTACTTGCTGGATATACATATGAAAATGTGTTCCAGAAATGAATAGATAAGTGAATGTTGGTTTGGCAATGCATGTTTGTGTGAGAGACATTCTTTCAGTCAACAATGACGTTTGGTAAAAAAAAAAAAAAAAACATCTAACCAGAGTCAGCGCTACAATTCACAAAGGCTGAGATTAGCCATTTTTCTTACCATCTTTGAGGGGTCATTTCTATGGTTTTCAGCATAATGGAATGAAACCTTTGTTTAATGATATTCATTGTGAAATCTCATTCTCTGCACATCATTTACATTTTTAAAAAATATATATTTTTTTTAGATTCTACCCTGCCTCATAGTTGCTGTAGAGCCTCAGGGTGTGCATATACAGTGGGTACGGAAAGTATTCAGACCTTAAGTATTTCAGAATTTAAGTATCTTAAATTTTTCACTCTGTTATATTGCAGCCATTTGCTAAAAGCATTTAAGTTAAATTTTTTTCCTCATTAATGTACACACAGCACCCCATATTGACAGAAAAACACAGAATTGTTGACATTTTTGCAGATTTATTAAAAAAGAAAAACTGAAATATCACATGGTCCTAAGTATTCAGACCCTTTGCTGTGACACTCATATATTTAACTCAGGTGCTGTCCATTTCTTCTGATCATCCTTGAGATGGTTCTGTTTGATTATACTGATTGGACTTGATTAGGAAAGCCACACACCTGTCTATATAAGTCCTTACAGGTCACAGTGCATGTCAGAGCAAATGAGAATCAAAAATTAACTTGAATGATTTTCGCAAATGGCTGCAATATAACAGTGAAAAATTGAAGGGGGTCTGAATACTTTCCGTACACACTGTATATATATATATATATATATATATATATATATATATATATGCTTCTTTTGTCCCTGCCCACTGACTGGTGGTCTATTTCACCCGGAGCTGCCCAGCTGTTTAGAGTAGCACTGGAACAGCTGTACAGTTTCCTGAACACTGTAGCTTTGTCCTGATCTGGCATTGCCTAGCAGACATGAGAATAGGGAGGGATAAAAAAAGGGAAGGTGGGCAGCCAGATATGTTAGTCCAGCCAAGGGCACATTTCACTCCGGTTAACACATCTTAACTCTATACTAGCACCTACACTCACTCCCATTACAAAGTTCAGCAAATATTTGATGAGAATTAGAACAAATCATTTCACCCTTTTTTGCACCAAATAATGTAGGACAGTTGCTAGAACTACCATCTAAATTTTTAAATGTTCCGAACAAAATGAGCGATACTTGTCGGTGCAAAACTCGCCTCCCATGGTGCTCAAATGATGTGGATGGTTGCTACAGTATATGCTGCTCTTATAGTATTTACTTCTGTCGTCTATGTCAGTGGTTTTTAAAATAGGGAGCCTTAGGAAATTTACAAAGGAGCCTCAAGATGATTTAAAATGAGGCAAAAATCGACAGAAACAAAATCACTATTAACAAAAAACACATACATACAACACTTCACAAGGTCTCAGTACATCACACGTCTTTACCAGTAACTTACAAAACAAGTACAATACAAGATAACAAAAAGAGGGAGGTGGCCAGCAAAGACCCTCAGATTTCTACCCCACACTCAATACCCATGACACACACTCATGAAAAAACAAAAATATTCAACACAGCACTCCATGTGGACACGCAGTACAAGGTACCATGGCCAACCCCTCCCACCTAAATCCACGCACCAAACAATACAAAACAAAATATAACAGACGGACCCAGATTAACTAAAACAGAACAAAACAGAGTAGAGCAGAGCGGAGCAGAAGTGCAGTCAGTTACTTGAGGTTCGTTAGGCTTCTATTAAGATCATTGGATACCCCTGGACGTGCAATCAATCCAAGAAAACAGTACAATGCTGCAATACATATGGTCGCTCACCACGCAGGATTACAGCTGACCTAAATCCACGCACCAAACAATACAAAACAAAATATAACAGACGGACCCAGATTAACTAAAACAGAACAAAACAGAGTAGAGCAGAGCGGAGCAGAAGTGCAGTCAGTTACTTGAGGTTCGTTAGGCTTCTATTAAGATCATTGGATACCCCTGGACGTGCAATCAATCCAAGAAAACAGTACAATGCTGCAATACATATGGTCGCTCACCACGCAGGATTACAGCTGCTTGCAGGCCCATATCTG